ATGTGATCAGTTTATTTACAAATTATGCCAGCATCTTTAAGCTTTGTGAGTAAATAAAACATGATACATGAATATTCTAAAATATTAGCATTTTTATCCAATCAGAGTGTTAACAAGTTTCTAAAATGCTTGAATGCTTTTTTCACTTTGTTTTAGTCTTTGAAAGTTTCACAATGTTGCTTAAGGTCAAATAACGTCATAGAATTTGGGAGCATCTCCAAACTTAAAGGAATTAGTTGGTTCTTGTTTACAGTTTCATGAAAATTTAAATTTTAAATGCCTTTTATAACATTTTCTAGATTTACATTGCAGTTGTTACTTCTATAACACTTAACAGAAAATTAAGATTATTATTTAATGTGTCTCTCAAGACATATGCAGATTTCATCACAAACTTAACAATAGAATAGTAGCACCAGAGGTATAGTAGTGATGTTACCCCAAAAGGTAAAGACCCTGATTCTTGCTGTACTCAAAAGACACAGTTATAGTCGGGAGACAGTGCATTGTGTAGCAAAAGATTTTAAAAGATGTATTTAAAAAAATGGAAAAGTACACCCCCAAGAACAGGAGGCAGGCTGATCCAAGGGAGGAAAAGCGATGGTTTCTGTCTCCCCTCTTATACCCTGGCTTAGAGGCGGTCTCTTGATTGACTGACAGCTCTTGTCCCTGGAGTGCCTAGTCACGTATGGCCCCTTTGCGCATGTCCTTACCCACAGTGTACACAGAAAAACCCATGAAATGGGGCTAAACTGCAGTGTTAATTATAGTACAATGAGCGCTAGGTCATGTTAGGTTAAGTCTTTTCTGTTTCCAGGCAGTGGTGGCCTTCGGGATTTAACCGGCTTTTTGCTGGCACTCATTTAGAAGAAGTAAAGTCCTTTTATGCTGGAGGCGGGCATAACACCATCTTCCGGGCCATCCTCCCTCTCTCCACCTACCTGCCTGGTGTCCCCACTTATCTAAATACCTAACAGTAATTGCTGTAATTTAATATCTATACTGTGTGCCTCATATGGTTTGAGCAGTTTAATCATATTAACATTTTGAATGCTCACATTATATTTAAATAACTTTCATTTCTATGTATTAACATTCTCTTCTTTAAACCACTGATCCAAAATGGTTTAATACAGATGAAATCAACACACATAAATATGCAGGGAAACAAAAATAGACCACAGAACCAAGTCCAACTCATACTCATATCATTTATGTATAATTGGAAGGCTTATTATTAACTTCTTAAAATGGAGTTCCAGTATCTTAATGAGAAAAACTGAGATAACATACATGTCAATCTTTATATGAAAACCCCTGCCTCCAACCTATAGCCTCCTACCATTCATATTTCAAATCATAATGGTAAAACATTCTGCTTTAAAGGCTGAACCCTTGCAGGATTTACTGAGCACCGCCTCTGTAACTCACCTGGTCATCGCTAAGCACAGTCCCTTACTGTGTCACTATTTACTTTAGCTAATTCCTAAAGCAGCAAAACATTTCTCAAATCCTAAGCTTGGTGTGTTGGTTATATTTTTCTAATGTGCATTAAAACAAGTATGCAAATATCAGAATAATGATTACACATCAGTGCAGCTTAAGTTTCTATAAAATATATATGTTACCTGTTAAAATTCTTCAAATATTTTTAGATGATCCTTTGAGCTGAGGGAATGTAATAAACACCCTTGATTTATACATATCACTTATGTATGACAATAGTGCCTTTGGTTATTGTTAATGCTTGTTTTATTTAATTATTTTTTTGACAGTGAAAAGAGGATGGGATAGGGGTGGGTTTGGAGGAGGAGAAACCACAGAAAATACCGCACTCACAATGCAGGAAAAGTCTTTCTTAAAAAATCCACAAATAAGGATATATGAATATTGCAGCTGTTAGCCCCAGGACTGATGACTGCACGTAAAAGACTGCAGCAAATGAAGATTTCATTGTCCCCTCTCTGACTTTCTAAAATGACACGGAAGCTTACATGTTCTGGGCACCATTCCCAGAAGTGTAGCATTCGCTCCAAAAATTCACAGATGCTCTTCTGGGAACGAGGTGGTGGCACTGGCAACACAAATGAGCTGACAGTGTGCTGCCGTTCCTGGAAGCACCGCCTTCTGGAGATGACTTTCAAGAAAAAACACCAAACTTAATCCTGTTTTGTTCTTTGCATAGCCTATATATTTTTAAAACTCAAAAATTAATATTATATGGGAGGGAAAAGTCAGTTTGTCACTGTTTGGAAGAATCACTAATATATTTTTTTGAAACTGGAGACGTGGTGGTTTGAGTTATCAAAGACTAGATTTTCTAAGGCATTGTATAAAGAAAAAATGGAAATTGTCACTTAACAACCACAAACAGACCAATTCACTATGCTTTGCCTGAGAATATCACACTATAAAATACTTTTAAAAGAAAACAGTTGCTGGCAATACAGATGCTCTGGATTATCATAGTTACTTGTATTTAATAGTGATTTTATCTTAGATTCATAGGCTGATAATTTTTTAAAGTGACCTTAGTAATCATCGACAAAATTCTTCATTTTATAGTTCCTCAGAGATTAAGTGACTTACCCAGGATGAGCCAGCCATGACACAAATGAAGTTCCCCTGAATTCAAGGGTAGTATTTTACCTTTGCCAATTTCCAAAGAGTTTCAAATTTATTATGTCATTTGAAAAGTCTAGAAAACTTATAAAGGTATCACTATTCTTACTTGGAAAAAGGAGATGGAAGCCCAATTTAACTAAGTTGCATTACAAAATATGTGTAGCGGGATTACAAAACTTGAAACCACAGGCTTTTTTTTTTCTAATACAACATATTACAATACATAATAAATACTCACTTCTAAAATTACTAATTATAGGGGAGGCTGTGGGCAGTGATCATCTGTAAGGAACAAAGGGGACCCGAGGATGCTCCTGAGCAGAGCAAGGGAAACAATGACGCCTGTACAGGCAACACACTGGAGATAGTTCAGACCGCTGTTTGCAACTGACATGAACCCAGATCCACCACAGGTCCCACCTTGCTTCAGCACTCTCCCATTCTGGGCCAAGGGTCTTGATGCTAGAAGAGGAGAAAACAGAGCCAGCTCAGGCCTGATCCTCAGAGCTTCAGCTCCAGTAACATGGAGTCAGATCCCCTCTGATAGTGTGGTGATGACCACTGAGCAGGTGGGAAGTTCTACCTCACATCCAGTACCCGCTCAAGCTCCGCCATCTCCACCCCACCCCCTACCAGAGTGATAGCTGCCAGCGTGCCTATTTGCAGATGATATGATACTTTAAAGTGAAAAACCCTGAAGTCTCTACCCCAAAACTGTTAGAACTAATAAGCAAATTCAATAAAGTTGCAGGATACAAGATCAATATAAAACATGTTGCTTTTCTGTAAACAAATAATGAACTATCAGAAAGAGAAAGTGAAAAATATATTCCTGTTTAAAATTACATCAAAAAGATTAAAGTACCCAGCAATAACTTTAACCCAGGATCTAGAGATTATTATGCGTAGTGAAACAAGTCAGACCGAGAAAGACAAATACTGTACCATGTCACTTACATGTGAACCTAAAAAATAAAATGATCACGTGTATATAGCCTAACAGAATCAGACTCAGGGATACAGAAAACACACTAGTGGTTATCAGTGGGGAGAGGGAAGCAGGGGCGACAGGAAAGGGGCATGGGATTAAGAGATACAAACTACCATGTTTAAAATAGATAAGCAACAAGACTATGTTGTCCAGCACAAGAAATGGCAGCCATTATTTCATAATAATCTTTAATGGGGTATCGTCTGTAAAAATACAGAATCACTACACTATACACCTGAAATTAATATAATGCTGTAAATCAACTCTTCTTCAATTAAAACATAAATAATAAAAACATCTAATTTTATTTCATAACAGTATCTTGCTTTACATTTTTTCAAATAATACCAAAGAAAACTTTCTTCACTCCATATGTAGTAGTTCCTTTTCTACACTACATACAAGAAAGACACACTTGTAACTCTTTGGGAACCAAATCACTAATTGAACAGCTATTCAATCAACTGACACACAATGGCAAAGAAAAGTTTTCTGACCCACACAGTTTTTACTTATAGATGCATAAGAAATAAATGCATTTATTGCAATACAAAAATCAATCAAGTACCCTCTGAAGTTTCATATTAGTGGAATCATTTGTGATGCAAGGGATATAATAAATCACAATATCATGAATCACTTGGTTCTTATGGCTCTGGTGTTATTTTCTGTTTGTATGTCATTCTCTCCAACCTGATATCTGAGTGGTCAGAGTTAGGGGTCAGACTCCCATTTATCTTTAAATGTGTGGTTCCTGGCACAAAAGCTAGTATTTACTATGCTTTCAGTGAATACTTTGTGGGAGTGAATGGTTCTGGATGCATAATCATAAAAAAAGGCCATTGCATTTCAGTAATTAGACCAAAATCAGGCAAAAGAAGGAAAGAGAAACTGATATATTATATCAGTCTGATACCATATTGTAGATGGTTTCAGTGTTGAGCCCATTTTCAGTGCACTGCTCTGTCTTTAAACTCACACTTCCCCCATATTTTCTTAATTAAGAATATTCATTGACACTACCAGACGATGAGATAATGAGGTCACCCAAGTTAATTTTTTTCCCCTATATTTGTCTCAATATATGAGTTGCTTGGTAAGAGGGGATACTTTTGTCAGTTTTCTAGGACTTGCTCATTTTCAATTTCAGCATTCATTTTTATTTTATTCAATAACTACAGCATATTTAATAAGAGATGAAAAAAAAATAAGACATTCACAAATCAATCATTTCATGTTGCCAGGAGTAAACAATGTAAACACAAAGTGGTGCTGCCTACCTCACATCCAAGCACAGTGGTTTCTGACTGATAGACAATCTAAAAAACAAAGCAAAGACCCATGAGAGGTATTCCTCAGCTTCGATCGGGACAGATATGTTCGTGTGTTACTTGGACAGAATGTTAAGGCTTGACGGAGCACTTATTCTGTCTACTAATTTGTCATGCTACTGAATTATGTCATGGAGTAATGCCAGTAAAAAAAGCAAAACAAAAAACTTCTCTCTTCTCATAATTATATTTGGCAGACCTATTGTTTTGTGCATTTGCAGGTAGTAGTCACTCAAATATAATGATCCAAACAGATTCCAAACAATGATTTCTTGGCAAAGATTCTCTTGCTGCCCCAGAATAAAAAATTGTATGAAAAAACCATTATACATTATCTATGTTCTCTCTGTACCTTTTGTGTATATATGTGTCCAGCATATTGGTTATTTTTTATTCAGAGAAACAATGATACAACCTGCTCGAAGAAATTAACATTTCCAAATCAACCATAATTTCTTTAACTGGAAAAAAACTAATACAACATTGCAAAGAGAAATAAAAAAAATGACAGAGGGGCAAACCATTTTTATCATTATAATGTGAATAGTAACGCTGCTTACTCTATGAAAGGAAGTTTAGTCAACCCTCATTAAGCAAGGAAGAAAAATATCCTTAATAATATGTTGAAACACATGGTAGGAATGGAAATCACACATAGTAAAGGTTTTATTCCTTAATTTTCAATTATCCATTCAACTAATACTATTGAGTACTTACTTTGTACGAAGCGCTCTTATAGGAACTAAAATATTTATCAGTAAACAAACCAGGTAAGCTCTCACAGAGGGCACGTGCGAGTGGACAAAGACAGAAGTAGGTAAATTAACAAATACATCCTTTGTCAGATGACATTCAACACTATGGAGAAATAAATGTAGGTAGGTGGAAGAAGGATATTAGGGGGAAGACTCTAAGCAGAGGGAACAGTTAATTTCCTATGTTCTGAGATGGAAAATTGTCTTGCGTGTTGAAGAAAGAACATGAAATATGGTAGAAGGTTGGAGTTGTACTGGATAAAATCAGAGAGGTGCATATTGTTGAGGGATTTCTTTATTATGGAAAAATAATTGTACTCATTTTTAAGTGTGCCTCTCAGTGGCATTAGGTACACTCACACTGTTGTGCAATCACCGTCACTATCAACCTCTAAAACATTTTCATCATGCCATTAAATACTATGTCCCATTCCTCCCATCCCTTAGCCCTTGGCAGCCCTACTGTGCTCTGTGTCTATGAACGACTGTTCTAGGTACCTCGTTAAGTGGAGGCATGCAATAGTTGTCCTTTTGTGACTGGTTTATTTTACCTGGCATAGCGTCTTCCAGATTCATCCCGTGTTGTAGCGTGCGTTGGAATTTCATTCATTTTTGAGACTGAGTAATATTCTGTTGTATATATATACCAGATTTCACTTATTCATTCATCAGTCTGCAGAAATTTAAGCTGTTTCCACCTTTTGGCTATTGTGAATTATGCTCTTATGAATGCGGGTGTACATACCCGGAAGCGGGACTGTTGAATCATATGATAATTTCATGTTCAGTTATTTGAGAAGTGGCGGTACTGTTGTTCACAGAAGTTGTATGATTTTACTTCCCCACCAGCAATGCAAAAGTGTCCCAATTTCCCCACAACCTTGCCAACACTTGATGTTTTATGGGTTTTTTGAAAGTGGCCATCCTAACGGGTGTGATGAGTTTTCTCATTGTGGTTTTCATTTGCATTCCCTAATGATTAGTGATTTTGAGCAGCTTTTCATGTGCCTTTTGGGCATTTGTAAATTTCTTTGGAGAAGAAGAACTCAAGTTCTTTGATCATTTTTTAATAAGGTTGTTTGGGGGGTTTTCTGTTGTCAAGTTGTAGGAGCTATTTGTATATTCCAGATATAAATCCTGTATCAGGTATATGATGTTAAAATATTTTCTTCTATTCTGTGGAATGCCCTTACACTGTTGATAATGTCCTTTGATGCACAATGGTTTTTAATTTTGGTGAAGTAAAATTTACTTTTTTGTTTGTTTGCTTGCTAATGCTTTTGGTGTCATATCCAAGAAATCATGCCAAGAAACCATTCCAAATCTGATGTCATGAAGCTCTTCCCCTGTGTTTCCTTCTAAGGTATAGTTTTAGCTCTTACATTTAGTTTTGCTCTCCACTTCGAGTTAATTTTGTCTACAGTAAAAATAAGTGTCGGACTTCATTCTTTTGCATGTGAATAGTTCCCCAACAGCATTTTTTGAAAAGATTACCCTTTCCTATTAAACGTTTTTAGTGTTCTTGTTGAAAATTATTTGATCATATTTGCAAGGCTTCATTTCTGAGCTGTTTAATCCCATTGGTCTTTACATCTGTCTTAATGCTGGTATTATGATATTTTAATCCCTGTAGCTTTGCAGTTTGTTTTGAAATAAAGATGTGTGGGATCCCAACTTTGCTCTTTTTCAAGACTGATTTGGCTATTTGAGGTCCCTTGAGATTCTATATGAATTTTAAGATTTTTTTATTTCTATAAAAAATATTGAGATTTTGATAGAGATTGCATTGAATGTGTAAGGTGATTTTGAATTACATTGATATTGTGATGTTTAATTTTATTCATCAACTTAACCAGGTAACAGGATGCCCATAGATTTGGTCAGATATTGTTCTTGTTGTTTCCCTCATGGTGTTTCTTGATGAGATTAACATTCGAATCAGTAGGCTGAATAAAGCAGATGGTCCTCACTAATGTTAGTGGCCTCATCCACTCAGTTGAAGGCCTGAATAGGACAAAAGGGCTGAGTAAGAGAGTGTTCTTCCTGCCTGACTGCCTTTGAGCTGGGACATCAGGTTTTTCCTACCTTTGGATTTAAACTGAAGTTACACAGTTTGCTTTCCTGGATCTCTAGCTTGCTGACTGCCGATCTTGGGATTTATCGGCCTCCGTGATCACATTCCTTATGACTCTTTTCCCTCTCTCTCTCTCCATATATATATTCATACACACACACATCATTGTTCTGTTTCTCTGGAGAACCCTAGTACAGACATCTTAACAACATTAAGTCTTCTACTCCATGAACACAGATATTGTATATTCTGTGCTTTCAGTGTACACACACAGTTGGATACACTTTTGAGCTTCCCTTGCAGTTAGATGTAGTCATGTGACTGTGCTCTGGCCAATGGCATGTGAATAAAATTAACATATATATCACTTTCAGTCCTGGTCCATAAAGTCATCTCATATGTGGTTTACCATTTTTCCCTTGATACCTGGAGGAAAAGAAGTACTACTTATATTTAAATTAAAATTAAATAAAATTTAAAATTCAGTTTCTCCATCACACTGGCCATATTTTAAGGGCTTGATAGCTATAAGACCCTTTTGGTTACCATATTGATCAGTGCAAATATAGAACAACTGCAGTATTGCAGAAAGTTCTGCTGGATGATGCTGACTAAAGGAAGGCAGAACCACAAGAAGGAGCAAGTGTGGTTCCATAGGTGACTGAGTATGGAACAATTGCATTCCCACTTCTGCTCAACAATGGACTGTACCAGGGTCAAGAAATAAGTGTTATTTTGTTAAGCCAGAAGTTTTACACTCTTTGTAATGACAGTTAGCACTCTTTAACTAATTCAGCTAGCAAGAAAACAAGTTGATGTGGTAGATGTTATGACACACCACGTGGAAATCCTTTTTGGGAATAACACACTTAGCAGCCCAGCTGTTGAGGGCACTGCATCCAAAGATTGAGGAAGCACGAGTCTCTTGCCTCAGCTGAGGTGGTTCTGACTGGTTACTGAATCTTCAGGCCTGTCTGAAGAGTCACGTGGACTTCCCTGGAGACGCCATGATATCTTCGTATCTTCTTCTTCCCATTCCTACTTATGCTCCTTCCCTTCTACAGGTGTTTCTGTTTTGTTTTGTTTTGACTTTCTCAAGAGCACTTGCTAATATACCTCCTGCCTGCTAACCACCATCTCAGCATCTGATTCCTGGGGAACACAGCCTATAACAATTGGTACTGGAATTGGCCCAAGAAAGCAGATGTTGGGATAGGATATAAAAGTTGCACCATCTGCCACCTCACTGTTAATGAGGGTCCCGTCATTGGTGGCAGATAATGCACAGAGAAACTTTGCTACCGGTTGATGATTCAGTTGTTGAAGCTTTCATCAGTGCTGAACTGAGATGGTATATTTTTGCAAGGCAGCGTATTAGTGATTGCCAGGTATTAGATATTTGATGGAGAATGGCAGAAAATGTGACTATACAGATCATAGTATTGGGAGGCTATGGTTGAGTTTGCTTGATGCTTTGAAGAAAAGCTAAGGAAAAGCTGACAGCACCACAGTGGAAAGCTAGAACTGAAATCCAGAGGGCCTCCTAGGAGCATTCAAAAATTCTCTGCAGTAGGAGAACAGAGCTGAGGACCACTCCCAGGACTTAACTGTAAGAACACAAAGCTCCCAGGAAGGCTGAATTCTCAAGCAAGGCAGACCAGGGCTCACATTGAGCAGATTCATACAGTCTACAGCACAGGAATATCATCTCTGAATAGCTGAATACATTCTTCCCTATCTCTGAAAAGCATTTTAAGAAACAGTTCATATTCACACAGAGTGGACAACAATATGCGTTTACAGTTTTGTCCCAGGTCTATGTTAACTTACCTACTTTTTGTTACAACAATGTCCAAAGAGATCCAGACAATCTGAACTTCCATCATAGTATCATATTGTTCCATTATATCCATGACATGAAAATCAAATTAAATGACTAACAAGTGGTTCTTCCAAGTGACTAAGACATTACAGGGCTTGAGAAGATTAATGTACTATAGAGGTAAGAAGTTAAATCTGATAAAAATTCAAAAGATTGCCATGTTAGTAACATTTTTGTGGGTCTGGTGATCTGAGTCATGCCAGGACATCCTCTCCAACATGAAGGACAAATTATTGGTACATTACCTCTCTGTGTAATGAAGGAAGCGTCACGAGGAAGGTGACTGGTAGACCACTTCAGCTTCTGTTCTTCAGTGTTTCCCTGGAAAACTTGGAATATTGCTCTGTCTCATATAAATGAGTGATTTAAAAAGGCTGCCAGTTTTGGATAGCAATCAGAGCAAGGACCTTCCACAGATCCAGCATGTGATCAAACCACTGGGCACCTTGGGACATACAACCAGGCAGAGTTTATGTAATAGGGGTATTAGTGTAAGGACATGATGCAGCCCATTGAGAAGAGGAAGAGACACTACTGAGAATAAACAAAAGCAATTCAGGGGCCACAGAATGCTGCAACAGTTGCTGGAGTGCCTTCACCTCAGCTCATGAGTATGTTCATGTTAGGGATCCCTAGTGATGATGAGAAAGAAAAAGCTGCAGTTTGCTTCACAAATTCATCAGTCTGTATTGGAGACACATGGACACATGCTAAAAACCAATGACAACTAATTTGCAAACACCTAGGCATGACCTCGAAAGGCACTGATGAGAGAAAAATCCTAGCAGTGGTGCAGAGCTTCAGGTACTCAACATGGTTATCCATTTTTTTTTGAAAAGACAAGTAGCCTAAGTTTAGAAAATATGAAGACTTGAATGGTTTGACAGCTCATCAAGGGTATGTGATGACAAAAGGTAGAAGATTGCAGACATGGAAGTTTGGAATAAAGACATGAATGGACTCAGGAAAGAGAACAAAAAGTGTGAAAGTCTATGTGTGTCATTTTAATGCCCCTCAGAAAGCAACAACATGCTATATAGAATGACTTCACTGTTTTCATCTTTCATCAGACTTCCCAGTACAGACACAACATGTTCATTGGTTGCTGTATTGGCAGGGAGAGTCTATGAACTCATATAATGCTGACCTAACTACTGCCACCACAGAGAACAATGCTATCTCTAATATATCTCCATCCTTTAATGAGATTAATCAGACACTTTGTGACAAGTTAGCTACATTAGATTTCCTTAACTGTAGAAGGCCAGCAATTTCTTTTGGCATAAATAGAAACATATTCTGTAAGTGCCTTTCTTATCTGCAGGACTGGAGCAAGTACCATTATTGTATAATTTATGGAGTATTTGATCCAGTACCATGGATCTCAAATACTACCATGTGAAACCAAGAAACCTACCCTACAGCAAAAGAGGAATGAGCATAGGCTGATGACATAGTACACCACCCAGATTCTTTCAGTCTGATAGAGCTTTGACTGGGCTGTTGAAGGCACCACTGAAGCACCAGCTTGGTGGTGATAATTTACAAGGACAGGACAGAGAGCCATTCTTCAAGACATTGTATACACTTTGAGTCAAAGAAGATTAAATAGTGCTTTGACCCCAACAGTTTAAATACATAGGTCTGGAAACTGAGTAGAGGAAAGAGGAATGATCCTATGTACATTTATTCCTGGTGATTTATTCAGAAAATCTATTCATTCTCTCCCAGCAACTCTGGTCACTACATGTTTAGAGGTTGTAGTTCCCAAAAGAGAGCATTTTTACCAATGTATAAATCAAGTTCAGTCCTTTGAACTGTAAGCTGTAACTGCTGCATGGCTCTTAGGACTCCCTGAATCAAGGAACAAGAAGACAAGAAGAGTCTCCATCTTGGCAGAAAGATAACCCTGATTGTCCAGAGTCAGTAGGCTGCTATTG